GACTTTTTTAACCATGCAATGGCTTAAATTTACAGACTTCAGGGAGTATGAGCCTTTAGGGAGTCCAGATCTGTGATTTAAGCTAAGGTCTTAATGGATTAAGACCAAATGAGTAGGAAGAGCAAAACTGGGGTGTACGTTGAGTGTAATCCCAATACGCGCAGCATAGGGTCGAGAATCCCCGATGCATGCATGGCGAAGGAGTACGCCCAGCGTAGGGGGCTTGTACGCGCGGCGTACGCGCTGCCATTGACTTTTAGTTGACTTTTAGGGTTTGGTCAATTTGTGGACTATTAAGGCCATTGAAGGGTAAAATGGTCTTTTATCCTTCTGTGAGTTTGTAGAAGGGTTTAGTCTAGCTTCTTTGAGAGCCTTTATTAATTAGAGATAATTTTTATATGTGTTAGGCGAAGGCTAGACCAGTGATTTGAGTTCGAGGTTATCCGATTTGTTACGAGGTGAGTCTTCTCACTATACTTACCTAGAATGGTAACTTTGTGTGTGACCGGAGGGTCTTTTGTGTTTATATTGAGTATTGTGATATCCTGCATTATGTCTTTGTGATTTATGATGTGTATTATTCTGAGCTTTCTGAGTTAGGACCGAATAGTACACCCGAGTTGTGGGACCGGAGGGTTCCACTGAGACACATTGACCGCAAGGTCTTATTTGAGTATAACCATGAGAGGCTAATGAGTTATGTGTGGTATTTTTGGGAACTCACTAAGCTTCGTGCTTACCGTGTTATGTGTTATGTGTTTCAGGTACTTCTCAGGATCACAGGAAGGCGCCGGCTTGATTGTACACACGAGGCAGAGTTACATTTTGAGGATCCTGGATTGTGTATAAAACATTTTCTGAATATATGTTTTGAAAACATTATCATTTGGGGGTTTTGTGAACTATGTTATGAGAATTACGTGATTTTTAAATTGAAAATTTTGTTTGAATAGTTATGGTGTTACAATATGTTACATGTTTTGTCAGGTCAATATGGACTCAGGGTTGATGCAAATCTATTTAGTTCAAATACACCAGTTAAGTTGATATAGACTGGGGATTGATGTGGAACCGGGGTTGATACAGACCCGTTGAGTTGAAACGGACCTGTGGCTGTTATTGATGTTTATTTAATGTTGTATGTGATATGTTAGGGAACTCACTAAGCTTTGACTTACAGTTGCAGATTAAATGTTTCAGGTACTTGAGATGATCGTGGAAAGGTCAAGGTGTGACTGTACACACTCATCAGCAACTTTCATGTTTGGAGATTTCATGTTATTTATGATACGTTGATATAGATATTTTGACTTATGGAACAATAGGTGTTATTATGTCTGGATTTTATGAGAATGAATTGAATGTTAACTAAAAATCAAAAAATTTGTTGTTAAAATTGGGACGTTACATGCAAGATATAAATAGTTGTAAGCCATGATAAAAAGTGTTGTAAACTTACCCTCAGGTGAAAATTATATCAAAAAGGTATACCTCAAAAGATTCATATATGTATAAGAATATTTCTTTAATTGCATATTAGAGATCAAGGAGAGAATCAATAATATATTACACTTCCCCAAGAAGTCCGCACTATAGAGTGGTACAATTAACCAGAGTGCATGAGTCGTCCAATTTTATTTATTTGTTAGTTGAAGTACAACACGATTTGTAGTTGGTCATGTATGCATGCTTAATAATTTCCATGGAATACTCTTATAGACAATATCAAAAAGAATGATAGAGAATAAATTGCATTAATACCACTTAAATACTTGAGTTCGCCCAAGTTGGTCATTTAGAACACATAGATAACAGAGTGGATGATGTACCAAATATTAGCCATATATGCCCTATTCAGAATGATGTTATCAAAACGTGATAAGAGGTATAATATAGACTGGACATATATGAAAATAAACATAGAAGATTCTGAGTAACCATGTTAAAAAAGTTGATCAACAAACTAGGAAAATCGATAAAACCACGTTCTATGTTCTTATTTAAGGTCAAAAAAGAGAGAAATGAAGATAAAAAATGTGCTACCAAAACAGGGATCATGGAAAACTAATGGTTGGTGCATGAAAATACTCTCTTGTAAATGACCATAACAAAATAAATTATCCAAATCAGGCTTGTAGATTGACCTATCAAGAGAGACTACAAAGGCTAAGAGTAACATCTTTGGACTTCGGTTAAACCACTAGGCTAAAAGTTTCATAGTAACAAATATCAAGTTATTAGCATTTACCATTAATGACTAAGAGTGATTTCTAGCATGCAGGCAACCCATTAACATTACGTTTGTGTTTAAATGATCACACGAATCGAACTATGTTTACCCGAGGAGGCATAGGATATCAACCCACGTACCATTAAATATAAAAGCATGAAACTCTTCATTCACAGACTTAATACACTTCAATAAATTTACATACAAATATGGATTTGGGGATAATATGGTCATATTAAGCATAATGTAATAGATCAGTTTTTTTTTCCATGGTATAGGAAAAGCATGGATTGTGTGGCGTGTTTATAGTTATAAAGGGAAATGAGATGAAGATAAAGGTTTGGAATGGCATGGATATAGGCTTGAAAAGGGTAATGTTAAGCTTTAAGTGTCTATGTTATATAGTTTGTTTATGAAAGGGTGTGGCCTAAAGTCGAGTCATTGAGTTATGTGCCAATATTTGGGTCTTAAGTGGAGTCAGTCACCTTGTATGTGCCAATAAAGGTGGAGTGCCATATTTAGAGCTTCAACCTATTATGAGAGTGGGATGTCATAATGGAATAAAAGAGGGGAGCATTATTAATGTTGTCAATCATTCTCTATGATTTCAATTTTGTTGAGATGCGTAAAGATAAGAAAATAAAATTTTGGTGCCACTTTTACGGAAAAACATTTGGAAATTTGATAATTATATTTTTTGCCGGTATGATATTGGAGAGTTTTAATTTGAATGGAATAAACCCATAGAAAATGAATAAATTATGAATGGAATTTGGTTAGAAAATGAATAAACTATGAATGGAATTTGGTGGGAAATTTGATAATCATATTTGTGTTTAAATGAATAAACTCATAGAAAATTAATATATTGGTTAGAAAAATTGATGTAACATTCTAAAAAACTATGAATGGAATTTGGAGATGTCCATACATCATAGTGAACAATACCAAATGGAAAAAACTATGTGTAAGTAATAAATGGAAGGTTGATATGTTTACTAGCTTGACATGCTTGAAAAACCATAAGAGACCGAAAATTATTATATAAAATAAAATTACAAGGCACGAGGGAACAAAGGATTTAATCACCATGATAATCGAGTTTTTAATTCCAAGTATAGGAGCTAAACGACACAAAATCTTGATTAGATGAAGATGTATGGGATAAAGGTCAATGTGACAATGAGATCGAAGTAGAAGTTGAAATGTCTATACTCCTTTGCAAAAACAAAAAAAGCTTAAATTCTATAAAACATTTATTAGTCCAAGTAAATTTTTAAACATGTACTAGGTTCTAATGATATTATTAGTGATAAGTAAGTTATGTGATTAAAAGGGCTGATAGGGATTTGGTATCATAGTGTGACGCATTGTATTAAAGGTGTAGATGACCCATTAAAATAAGGAAATAATGTAACCTACTCTTATTACTAATGGAATAAAGGTAGGCATGTCATTCATGTATATCTATTGTTGATTTGGCCATTGAGTGTGATCGTGTTAAAAAGTTGGGGTAGAGTCGTGTCTTGATCAGTTTAAACTTTGAAAACCGACAAGTGTATGAGATACATATGCTTACTGGGCTTTAGAATCGTGGGTGCATAACTATGGGTAAGAAGATGGTCACCGTTGGATTGGGCATGAACCGCCTAAAGAATGTTGATAAGCCATGTACAGTTATAGGCAAATCCAACTTGGCAATGGGGATGGGGGTATCCCTTTGAGGAGATTGGGTTTAGGTTTGTGGCTAAGAGAATGGTGCTATGAGTTGAGGTGGTTTCTAGCCGGCTTGTATGATACCCTAGTTCGACTGTTATTTCCAACCAGCCTAAGGTAATGTTTTTTGGCCATTATATGATTGTTGATTACATCCTCGTCTACGACGTCGAATACAACCTCTTCCATCGATGTGACATTGTCCCCAATTTTGGTCGTTTGATTCCATATTAAGAACCAAGAACTTTTTAAAAAACTCTGCTTTGATGCCACTATAACCTAATAAGCTAATAAGTTAAAAAGTGTTTATCAATTCAAATAAACACTCCAGACACTCCCTATGTTATATATCCTAAGTTTATGATAGAGTCGATCTTTAGCCAATTTTGTTCGTTAGTTCTGATTTTTTTTTTCATTGTGGGTTCTATCGATGTGACCAAGAACACCAAAAGTAGTGTAATATGATTACACAGTTCTCTCCCCACATAATAATATAGTTGCTTTACATCAAGGGTTAATGGAATCAACTTCTTGATATTGGTTAGTCCATATGGTTTTTCGGTTGAAATCGAAGATAAAGATTAAAAAAACAAAAAAAAGGAGATGCAGAATGTACGATCAATATTTTCCCATAAATTGGTGTATATCCATTCCATTGATATAAATATACATAATACAATAATGGACTAGGTTTCAATTTAAATGGGCTCTCTAATACAATATGGGCTACAAATATAACATATACAAATATGTAAATGTATGCTAACAGCCCCCTGCAGTGTGAACGGGAGGTCTGCACTGAACGTTTAGACTGGATCGAAAATCGAGAAAAAGACAGGATGTAAGCCCTTTGGTGAAGATATCTGCATACTGAGATGAAGAAGGAACATGTATAACTCGAACATTCCCTAGAGCAACTTGATCACACACAAAATGTATATCAATCTCAATGTGTTTTGTGCATTGGTGTTGAACTGGATTGGTAAACAAGTAAACTGCACTTACATTGTCGCAGTAGACTAAACTGTACTTACCTCTGCCAAAATTTTGAGAGTCACGGTTTTGGGGGATGTGACTGGTGCACATTGTGAAGAATAGTCGAGGAGGAAGGGCTGTCTTGAATGAGAGGATTAAGTGACTGAGATTGTTTTTTTTTCATGATGCGTTCTTCCAAAGTAAGCTTCGATTTCATTTGGAGAAACGTGGGGAAGGGAGATGTGTCGTGGATAGTAAGGGCAATATGGGCATATTTAGATGACAAGCCATTAATTGTGTATATAACTAGATTTGTCTCATCAACAGGTGATCCAAGATTGGTGAGCAGATCCGAAATTGATTTCACTTTAGAGCAATATTCAAGGATTGATTGGTTACCGATGGAGAGATGACGCAGTTCATCATCAAGTTCGATGATCTTGGTCTCTTTATTTTCGTGAAAAAGATCTTGAATAGTCTGCCATATATCAGCTGCAGTGGAGTCTGGTTTAAGAACCGATTGAAGCATTGTTTGAGAGAGAGTTCCATACAGCCACTGCTTTACAATATTATCCACTTCAATCCACTTTGGATCTTCAGGGTCGGAATCTGTACCAGTGAGGTGATCATACACAGAATATCCAAGATAGCGAGTCTTGAATAACTCTTTCCATGAGTCGTAGTTCATCCTGTCGAGATCAAGAATAAGGGGCACGTAAGACTTTATGTTGGTGCAGCCATAAATACGATCGGTGGGGTTTGTTTTTGGAATGTTGTCTGCATCATCAGACATGATGGAGGGAACTGAGAGAAAGAAGAAACGAGTGAAGATGGAAGGAATACGCCTTAGGTATAGGATCGACTTAGCTTTAAGCCTCTGATACAATGTACGATAAGTATTTTCCCATAAATCGGCGTCTAGCCATTCCATTGATATAAATATACATAATACAATAATGGACTAGGTTACAATGTAAGTGGGCTCTCTAATACAATATGGGCTACGGATATAACATATACGAATACATAAATGTACGCTAACACAGAAGAGTCATTATCGGCCATGAGTAAGTAGATAACAACACTACAAATTTTAGGAGGGGGGAGAATTATTTTTTCGTAAAAAAAACTCTTATAACATGTTAGAGTATTATTTCCCAATGAATATATATCTTTCATTAAGATTAAGTAGGTCTCTATTCAACAAATGCACAACGCTTACAAAAGATTAAGTAGGTCTCTATTCAAAAAGAGCCCAAAATAAACCTAACAATTGTGTGTACGTGTACACTAACAAATATTAATAAAATTTAAAACTTAGCTATCTCGAATCTCATCTCTAGGCATTATGACCGTAAATTATCTATAATACGTCGATCAGCGTATTAAAATATATATTTTTTGGACTTTTTGAAAAGTTATATGAAAATTTAGAAAAAAAATACATATATACCCCCTTGGGACACATGCTTCCTCATGCATGCCTACACTTTGACACACAAAAGCTCGCTAACTTTTATTAGGCAGATTTTGACTTCTTTACACATAATTTAGATCTTTGGAGACTGCCCCCTAGCAACCTTGCAACCAAAATTTTCCATTAAAAAATTGAGAATCAATAATTAAAGGCATCTTAATGGTTGTAAAGAGCACTCAAATAAAGAACAACTTGCATTAAAGATTGGCTAAATGTGATTAATCTTGTTTATTTATTCCTATAATTGGGGTTATTTACATCAAGAAAAATCCAAACCACTCATTCACCAATTATATCGGCTTTCCGGTTTAGATATTAAATTAAATTAATTAATTAACTGGAAAATTTCTTTATCATGGAGATATGCAAAGCAACGGCCTCAAAAACTCACCAATGTTAATTGGTTTTCAAGATTCAAGAAATATACAATACTGAGTCCAAAATTACCAGAAATATAGTTTTTTTTTATCAGATTCCAATATAATTAATAGTTCATAGAACCGATGCACTAATAATATGTTTAAACTCAATATTTCTAAGTAGGGGTTTTGATAGTATGTCTTTTTAAAGGACAGTTGACAAGAGCATATATGGTGTTCTAATTTTGGCCACTAGTTTAGGGGGATTCTCAAGAGGATATAATGTTATCTATGTGTAATTAGGTAACACATCAACTAGTAATAAGTTTTAAGTAATTAAGTATATCTAATTGGGTAAAATAAAGATCAATAATGTTACAACTATACTAGCTAGGGTTTCTTTTGTTCTTTATCTGTCCACATTTTGATTCTTCTATATAGAGAATATAGATAGCAAATCTTTTTTCTCTAGATCTGATTTTGATGTGAAAGAATCGAAACCGATAAGATAAAAAGATAAACATATTTGGATGTGGGAATTATTTGAAAAAAGAAAAGAATACAAACATTGACATGGAATGGATCGTTATTGATTTATACTCATCGTGTTAGCATGCTAAGAACCATGAAATATATATCTAACATCAAATTGGTATTAATCGTATTGTGTTGATATATAATTACCACCTAATGTCATATCGATTCAAACAGTTGATAAGTAATTTTTACACTATTATTTTATCATTCTATTAATAAAAAAATTATTTTTTTAATCATTTATAATTTCTTCCTTTGGTAGAAACTTTTGAAAATAAAATAATATAATTAAAAAAAAATAGTGTGTGGGGGTCGGGGGAGGTATAGGCAGGGAAAGATAGCTTTTTCTTGGATCGCCTTCTGTTATTGAAGTATATTAAAGTTACTAACTTAAATATATGGGACCAATAATATGCTTATCGATTTGCATAATATATTCAAAAATAGTAATTAAATAGTACTAAATATTTTTGAAAAAGCACATCTCGCTTCCATTATTCGTAGAATAATAGCTTGTTAAAATAATATATTATTGGATAAAAAATTTTGGATTGCTTTGTATTTTGCTTCACTAATTGTCGAAAGGAGAAGGGAGTCAATTTCTTCCGACTCATTCAACTCATTGTTTGCATTACTTTTCTTTCTCCTATTTCTTGCATCTTTTCTACCCCATAACACATGAAAATAACATATTTTTCAACTCACTTAACTCACTCAATTAAAAATATACAAAACAACTATTGTACAAGCATTTATGCATAAAGAACAAACAACTAAATCATGAGAGAGTAGAGAAAATGTAGAGAAAATGATACATTAACGGGTTGTGTAACCTGCTATCCTACCTTCTGACGAAACCAATTTGGTTTCAATATAAAACTATTGGTAAACTGTTAGCTAATAGACTGGTGGAGGTTATCGGTAGTGTTGTCAGTATGGAACAGTCTGCCTTTGTCAAAGGTAGACAGATTTTGGATGATCCTTTTCTTCTAAATGAAGTGGTTGCTTGGAGCAAGACTTCTCGAAATCCCTTCATGTTGTTGTTTAAGGTGGATTTCGAGAAAACATATGATTATTTATCGTGGGACTATCTTTTGGAGATTATGAAGATTATAGGATTTGGAGATATATGGTGTGGGTAGATTGAGGAGTTATTATGTAGTGCTAGGGCCTCAGTTTTGGTTAATGGTTCACCCGATCGATGAATTTCAAATTCATCATGGTTTGAGACAGGGCAACTATTTATCTCCTTTTATTTTCATTCTGGCAATGGAAGGGCTCCATGTTGCTTTGGTTAGGGCCCGTTCGGCTAATGCTTTCAGGGGGATTTCTGTTAGAGCATGGAAATGCTCTAAAAATTATGAGTGATAAGTTAAGTTATTTTATTGCCCTTTATTTTATTTTAAGGCTCCTTTATATAGATAGAGAGGAATGGTCATTGTATTAAAAAGAGTGCACGAAAAATGAAGTTCTCTAGTTAGAGAGACTGTGGTGGGATCTCTTCCACCAAGTGTTCTTGTATTGGTATCAGAGTCGTACATTGAAGATCTAAGCGATTATTTCAATGGAACGACTCCCGATCGGTTATCTTATCTTGATGATTCTTCGATTTTCTACCAAGAATTTCCAGGTTCGCAACCGGATGTTCTTATAATGAGTTTTTCTGATTTTTTGAGTGTTGATTCAAGCTTTTAAGAAAAAAAATGTTGCTGCGGTTCATTCATATTTTTCTGCTAAAAATCCGGGTATTACAAGCTTTTATCTTGCTATTGGAGAAGAAGAAGAAAAAGGAAAAAGATTTTTGTTGTCTGAAATATTTGAAGATCTTGAAGAATTTTTGTTCCATGCATTTTATTTCTGTCTTGGAAATAGACACAATGTCTTCTCGAAATCCCTTCATGTTGTTGTTTAAGGTGGATTTCGAGAAAACATATGATTATTTATCGTGGGACTACTTTTGGAGATTATGAAGATAATATGATTTGGAGATATATGGTGTGGGTAGATTGAGGAGTTATTATGTAGTGCTAGGGCCTCTGTTTTGGTTAATGGTTCCCCCGATCGATGAATTTCAAATTCATCGTGGTTTGAGACAGGGCAACTATTTATCTCCTTTTATTTTCATTCTGGCAATGGAAGGGCTCCATGTTGCTTTGGTTAGGGCCCGTTCGGCTAATGCTTTCAGGGGGATTTCTGTTAGAGCATGGAAATGCTCTACAAATTATGAGTGATAAGTTAGGTTATTTTATATCCCTTTATTTTATTTTAAGGCTCATTTCTATAGATAGAGAGGAATGGTCATTGTATTAAAAAAAGTGCACGAAAAATGAAGTTCTCTAGTTAGAGAGAGTGTGGTGGGATCTCTTCCACCAAGTGTTCTTGTATTGGTATCAGAGTCGTACATTGAAGATCTAAGCGATTATTTCAATGGAACAACTCCCGATCGGTTATCTTATCTTGATGATTCTTCGATTCTCTACCAAGAATTTCCAGGTTCGCAACCGGATGTTCTTATAATGAGTTTTTCTGATTTTTTGAGTGTTGATTCAAGCTTTCAAGAATAAAAATGTTGCTGCGGTTCATTCATATTTTTCTGCTAAAAATTCGGGTATTACAAGTTTTTATCTTGCTATTGGAGAAGAAGAAGAAAAAGGAAAAAGATTTTTGTTGTCTGAAATATTTGAAGATCTTGAAGAATTTTTGTTCCATGCATTTTATTTATGTCTTGGAAATAGACACAATGTCTTGGGTTTTTATTGAAGAAGATGGAGAAAATTTTCTTTGAAGATGTTATCGGCAACTTTGTGTTCATCTTAGGAGGTATGAAACTCCTTTTGTTCTTCAAATATTGCTGGTAGATCTCATTAGATTATCTTGGGCGTAATAAGCTTGTTTGAAAAGGTATATGTCCTTGTTACTCTTTTTAGAAAGAGTACCCCACCTTTTATTTTCCCTCCTGAACACATCCATGTGAGTTTACACCTTTTACCCACCTTTCTCCCCTACACACTCACCTTTTTCATTGACCCATGCCTTGTCTCCTCACTTTATACCTTTTTCCCTCACTTTATGCCTTTCTCTCTCCTACTTTCTGCCATATTTTACCCTTCCGAACACCCCATTTCGTCCCTATATGCTTTAGGAAAGATTCCCTTT